GATTGGCCTAATAAGTCGTAGATTTTGTGCCTTTATCGCCGTAAGACATTAGGGATGATTTAGGGATGTTTTTGGGTTATCGAGGAAGTGAATCGTGGGACTTTTGGGTTGATTTTAGGTTCTGGTGCGTAACAGTGTTTTGTTGTCATCGCGTGTTTGCACAATGAACAAAATCGTCCCAGACTCGTACTGCAAAGAATCCTTCGCACATCGAATAAAATCGCCCCAGACTCACACAACGAACTTGCTAGCGAATGTAGCAGCGTTTCGCGAATTCTGATTTTGTGCAGTGATGCCTTGATGTTTTAATGATGTGATTTCTTTGACGAATTAATATGAGTTTGCTGTGATTTCTATGTGATTTATACATGATTATATGATGTTTCCTAAGATGTAATGATTGATGAACTATGATGATATTTCCATGAGTTTTGATGATTCTATGATGATATGATTTTTGATGATGATGATTATGATGAATGATGATGCACCTATGATGTTATTATGAGGATGATTATTGACGTGTGCATCCGAACTTCGGTTCAGGACCTTGATTTCTTTGGCTTCAATCCTATTGTGTGGATGTGAGGTATTTTGATGTTCTCCGGTTCTGGAGTAGAATCAATCCTATTGATGGGGATCTATGGAGGGTTGATGGCTCAGTGTCCATCGAGCTATGATGATTGGTACCACATGCATTGAGTCTTGTTGCATTTGCATTTATGAGATGATCTTGAGTAAATTATGATGTTGTGGCCTTTGATGTTCCTTGATGAATATGATGATGTTAAATATGAAAATGACGCCATTTTATATGTTGATTTCCTACATTGATTATTATGAATCATTTTACTCGCCCTGCCTGTTTGAATGTTACCTCCACGTGGGTAACATACAGGTGACCAGGTTTAGCCGTGGACGCCGTCGAGGGCTTTTGAAGTTTTGAGTTGTTGGCCTTTTGGTTAACGTAGAGGGTCTTGCTCTGATAGTGTAACATCGGGATGGAGTCTTTGAGTTAAACCATGATTTATTTGATTTGGCTATTTTGGTTATGTTCCCGTATAAGGAAAACTTTGGATTATGCCTTTTTGAGTTCCGCTACAAATTTTGATATCTTTTTGGAAAACCCGTTGTTTACGGAGCTTTGACTTATATTTAATTTATTGGGAAATGTACGCCCTTTGAGGTGATTTTATTGAGTTTAATATTTTACTCTGATATATGTGAATATTTTTCCATTTAATTGTGGGGTAGAAAAGGGTGTTACAGGCACGCCAAAAGTCTTTAAATACAGAAAACAAAGAAACCCTAATGCACTTTTCATCCAAAACATAATTAAATAAATAAATAAAAATGCGAAAATAGTAAAATGCTAAATTTAGGCTTGAAACAAACTCGGATGGCTTAAAAAGCCCATAGGTCATGGTAAATCGATGAGCTAAACTTGTGAGTCGATTCCCTATCTAGAAAAGTATAATAATAGTTATTCTGACATTAAACGCCAAACTTGCACAATTCCTGTGGAACCTTTCTGACACACAACTTCCTCTTTGATAGCGCAATCAACCTTCCTACATCAGTCTCCTCCACCTCTAAATAACTCGACCCCAAGTACTCTTATTGGTAAAGAAACTCGTTTGCATGATATTCATGACTGTAATAATATTTGAAAGTATTGGATATATTCATGAACTTCGGGAGAGCTACCATATAAGAATGATCATTGATCTTCCGAGTCACTTTGAACGGACCATATTTGTGTGGCTGCAGCTTGCTATAAGTTACCAACCGAGAACCTCTCTTTGCATAGAAACACCATCACATCGTCTCCTACATTGAAAATTTGGAACTCATGCATTTGTCAGCAACTGCTTTATTCTTCTGCCCAATAGCCTCTAACTTAACCTTGATAGCTTCTTTAACAACTACCATTTCCTAGGCCATATTCTTAGCAGTCGCACTAACTCCAAGAGCATTGGGCAACTAAACCGAATTAACCACATGTTTAGGAATAGAATTATAGACCAGAAAAAATGGTGATATCACTGTAGTTGAATGCACAACATTGTTGTAAGAAAAATTGACCTGAGGCAAAACTAAATCCCACTCTTTCAACTTGTCACCATAAACACTCTTAATCATATTTCCCAAAGTTCTGTTAGTTACCTCAGTTTGTCCATTTGTTTGAGGATGAGGTGTATACCTCTTATTCAAAGTTATTCCAAACAATCTCTAAAGAGTAATCTAGAAATTACTAAGGAATTTGGTGTCCTTATTTGAAGTAATGGATGTAAGAGCCCCATGAAGATGCATAACCTCTCTGAAAAATAGTTTGGCTATGTTGGAAGCATCAGCAGTTTTCTTACAAGCAATAATGTGTGTCATCTTAGAGAACCTGTCTACTACCACAAACACAGAATCTACACCTCGTTGTGTCCGAGGCAAGCCCAACACAAACTCAATTGCTAAATATTTCCAAATATAATCAAGAATAGGTAAAGGCATATAAAGACCAATATTTTGAGACTAGCCTTTAAAAACCTGACAAGTATAACACCTTCTAACTATTGCCCCAACGTCTCTTCTCATGTGTGGCCAATAATACCTCTATTATAGGCTAGCAATGGTCTTGTCTCTATCTAAATGACTGCTAAGACCGCCCCCATGCAAATATCAAATTAAATTCTCTCTTAAAGATAATCAAGGAATGAATAGTCGATCCCCTTTAAAAAGATATCCACATCAAATGTGAAAATCTTAATGGAACAATATTTTCATGCAACTCTTTCAGGAACTCAAAGCCTACTACCTCCTACAGTAAGGAAATTAGCAAGGAATCCTTCCTACTCAATGCATCTGCTACCTTTTTAAGAGCCCCCGGTTGATGCTGAATCATAAAAGGGGATTCATGCACAAAACTCACTCATTGAGCATGTATCTTTTTTATCACCTTCTAGATATGAAGAAGCATTAAAGTTTGATGTTTAGTTAATATAATGAAAGGCTTCTTAACAAAATAATGTTCCCACTGGCATAGACCTCTAAAGACTTCATATAGTTCCTAATCACAAGTAATCCATTTATGGTGAGCATCACTTAATTTTTTTGCTAGAAAGGCTACTGATTTCTTCTCCTATGATAACACAACTCTTATTCCCACCCCATTAGCATCACATTTAACTTGGAACACTTTGTTAAAATCAGGAAGTGATAATATCGGTGTGGTACATAGCTTCTCCTTAATCAGTGCAAAACTCCACTCTTGCTCAAACCCCTAATTGAACTCCCTTCAAACTTTGAGTTTTGCTTGGAGAAGTCTATGAAAAACAATACAATTTTTGAACCTGAGATGTAGGTGGAGTATTGGTGCTGGGAGTAAGATTAGAGTGATGTTTGAGCCTTGGCTAAGAGGCAATGAAGAAGTTTATTTAGGAGGCCCCCAAGGATGAGGTGCTTATGAGATTACTATTAAGGATTTAATGATGACTCACGTTAAACAGTGGGATGCACAGAAAATTCGAATTTTATTTAACCATGATGTTGGGAACGAAATCTTGAAGGTACTGCTCTTAGAGGAAGTGATGGAAGATTATAGGGTATGAAAAGAAGAACAAAATAATAATTATAGTGTCAGAACTGCGTATAAGTTGGTGAGAAGATTTCAATCAAACCATATTAACCATATGTTGGAAGGGGATTGAGGTAGCTTCTGGAACATTACGCCACCACCAAGAGCCAAACATTTATTACGGCGTGTTTGTATGGGCTACCTCCCAACTCAGAATAAGTTTCAAAAATATTTTGTTCTATGTCCACTTCATTGTCAGTTGTGTGAGAATATCTAAGAGGATGATTGACATGCGTTCTTTGGTTGCATGGTCACTAATTAAAGCTAGCAAATTGCAGATTTGTCTTTTATCATAGAACCTCATTTTTAGAAGTTTAATGATGCTAAGACCCTTATTCTTGACATTTGTAGTAAAGAAGGTAGGATGATTGCAGGGAGAGTTGCAGTTTTGATTTGGGTCCTTTGGAATAAAATAAATAACGTGATTTGGAATAATGAAGAGATGAAGAGTCCAAGTTATGATTGCAAGCTTATCATACTTGACATGATTGGTTTAAAGCTCAAGATAATCATGCGGGTGAGATTGACTCCCACAATAACCAAACAGTGTGGAATCTGCCTAATGAAGGGTGGGTGAAGTGTAATATCGATGTGGGCTTCAATAATCAGAAAGGGACAGCTAATTAGGGTTGGTGTGTTAGAGATTGCCCTGGTAGATTCATCATTGGAGGTATATCGTGGAACGTTAGTATTTTATTGATTATAGAAGCTGAAGGCTTAGCCATAAAGAAGCAGCTCAAGCAACCATCTAGTTGCAACTGCATTACGTGATTTTTGAAAGTGACTCTCAAATAGTGGTCCACCATATCCATGCCAATTATGGGGGTATTTTTAAAATTTATTCTTAAAATCTTGTTTATTAAGAGTCTTTTACAATGTATTCCCAACTTTGAGATAAAGTTTGTCAAACACCAAACGAATTCGATTGTCCGTGTGCTACTTAAAGTGGTCAATTCTTAAACTAGATGTAGTTTGTTTAATTTAATTCCCCCTTATATTAACTGAAAATTCTTAATTGAAATGCATTAAGTTTGTTTTGGTAAAAAAAACATAAGTTTTTGTTAACTGATGTGTTTAATTACCAATATTTCAAAAATATACAGTTATATGTTCCCTAATATGAATAACTAGTACAATTATTTACCAATCCTAAGATTTATTAGGTCATTTAATTTTACCGCTAACTCCCATTTATAGATTAAATAAGTATTGTTTCAAACAAATTCAATTTTATCACTAACTCATAGATAATTAAACATAACAAAAGGTTTAAAAATATTTAATATACATTAATTTAATACATATATGAAAAATGTTCTCTTGCCTATAAAAAAGAGGATTACTTCAACTGTTTTTTTCAAACAATTTGAAGATGGCTACAGCAACAGGACTACTACCATTCTTTGCCACCTTCATGGGAGTCATGATCATCCTATTTCTAAGTAAATTTAATTCTTTTAATGTTTATTTCTAAAATAATTAGAAAATTAGGGTTGAAATTCTTAAAATCTCATTTAATTATTGAGACATTTAGGAAATGTTTAATCTATGTATATTATAACAAATAATTTTTTTTTTAATTTATTAAATAACTAATATATCTAAATATGAATAAACAGATTTGAAAGACGTCTCTGGTGAGGATCTTGAATTAGACTCTGCAAAATGTAGATCAAGAGCTTGGCCGCCGCCTCAATGTCCACCAAATAATCTATTCAATAAGAAAGCGTTCGCTTGTACAGACAATTTCATTGGAAGATGTGTTCCTCATGTGCATGATGCATGTTGTGATTGTTTTTGCAAACACTATGGCAGTTCAAAAGGAGGGTTTTGTAAAACTCTTAGATGGAAACAACCATCACCACATAATTTTTGTCATTGCTATTGTTAGATGTTTATATTATACCAATTACAAGTAGTAGTCGCTACAAATGTTGCAGTTATATAACCTCAACGAATGATGAATGTCATTAATAAAATTTAATATCAAAACATTTATCTCATTGTTATAATGTTATCTTCATGATTCTTTTATCTTCGTTTAACTTGTATTTTGATTGATAAAATTTCTAAATCTTTAAACTTAAGATTATAATTATTGTTGAGACATAATATCAATGTAGTATTTGTGGATAGGATTAATTTTTATATAAAGTTGTGATAAACTTTGGATATTAATATCGAATTTTAAAGTTAGTTAAAGATTCGATTAATTCATTTTAATTAATTAAAATTCCCTCTTTTAAAAAGATTGATTATTTAAGTAGTTAGTTAGGTTAAGAGATATTAGATATAATTTAAGTTGTATTATGTGGCTCAAGTTCAAAGCTAAATAGGGTTTAAGGTTTGTTATTTAGTTTGTTATTTTAGTGTATATAAATAAACATTTTGTAATTCAGTTTTATTCAATTCAATAATAGCAATCCTTGTTTCTTTATTTTCTCTCTTTCTTTTCTCACTAAAAGTGTCTCACGCACTAACAGATTAGTATCTAGAGCTTCGATTAGATTCTTGATTGTGTTTTCAAGAATCACACGTCAGAGATCATGTTTTTGGGATTATGGGTTATTCTTGATCAACCGCTGCAAAGATGAATGGTAACAAAAATTTACCAAACTCCCTTCCAACTCTTGACGGCAAGAATTGGCTCCGATGGAGAAAAAATATGCAATCTCTATTTGGTTTTCATGATACCCTAGAAGTGGTTACGAATGGTATTCTTACGTTTGGCGAAGATGCAACCGAAACACAGAAAACCGCTCACAAGGAGACCAAGAAGAAGGATTGCAAGACAACATTCTACATCCAATCGGCGGTTAATGCAGTTAATTTTGACATAATCGCTCATTCTGAATCGGCAAAAGAGGCGTGGGATATTCTTGTCAAGTACTATGAAGGAGGTGAGAAATTTAAGGTTGTCATGTTGCAAACTTTGCGACAACAATATGAATTGTTGTCAATGGGAGAAGATGAAAAGATTTTAGGCTATGTGTCGAAGGTGCATAAACTCCTTCATTTCAGGAAGGGTTGTGGTGAAACCCTAATTGATAAGATGATAATTGAGAAGGTAATACGTACTTTGACCTCTCATTTTGATCATGTTACCGTAGCTATTCAAGAATCCAACAATGTTGAAACCCTAAAACTGAAAGATTTGGTTGGTTCGTTGGAAGCGCATGAGATCAGGATTATCAAAAGGGAAGGAGTTCAAGAATTGATACAAGCATTACAGGCTCAATCGTGGAAGAAGAATGATGGTTCCAACAAGTTCAAAGGAAAAATCGACAAGACTCAGGGCAAGAAGTCTTGGTCGAATCCTCACAAGAACAAGATTGATGATAGAACTTATGAATCCTCAAAGAGAGGAGAAGGAAATTTCTATTAGAAAGACAAAGTAGAGAAAAAAGGTGTGCATTGATATAACTGTGAAAATGGGGTCATTTGGCCAAGCATTGTTGGTACATGAAAGACAAGGGTTCGACAAAAGACAAGGACGAAGGAGCAAACCTTGCACGTCAAGATTCAAATTGTTCAGATGATATGGTGGTTATAGAGGTTGAGTTCTGCCTATCATCCGCAGACGGATGGACAGACAGAGAGAACTATCCAGTCTTTAGAGGATCTACTGAGAGCTTGTGTGTTGGATCAAGGTGGATCGTAGGATAGTCATTTGTCATTGATTGATTTTACCTACAATAACAGTTACCATTCTAGTATCGGGATGGCACCATATGAGGCTTTTTATAGTAATAGGTGTAGGACTCCTTTATGTTGGTATGAGTCAGGCGAGAGTGCTATACTCGGACCTGAGATTGTGCAAGAGACGACTGAAAAGAGAAAGATGATCCAAGAAAAGATGAAAGCGTCGCAACGTCGTCAGAAGAGTTACCATGATAAGAGGAGGAAATCACTTGAATTCCAAGAGGGAGATCACGTGTTTTTGAGAGTTACGCCGATAACTGGTGTTGGCCGAGCTTTGAAGTCTCGATAGCTCATGTCGCATTTTGTTGGTCGGTATCATATTTCACAAAAGGTGGAGGAAGTAGCATATCGGATTTCTTTACCGCCGTCGCTTGCAAATTTACATGACGTGTTTCATGTGTCTCAATTGAGGAAGTACATTCCAGATCCGTCGCATGTGATTCAGATGGATGATGTACAAGTGAGAGATGACTTGACTGTTGAGGCGTTGCCAGTTCAGATTGATGAACGAGCAGTGAAGCAACTGAGAGGTAAAGAGATTGCATTGGTAAAGGTAGTTTGGGGAGGACCAGCTGGAGAAAGTTGGACTTGGGAGCGGGAGGATCAGATGAGTGAGTCGTATCCGACAATGTTTCCTTGAGGTAATTTTCGAGGGCGAAAATTATTTTAAATGGGAGAGAGTTGTAACACCCCAAATTTTAATTAGAATATTTATTTAATTTATTTAAATAAGATTATTTGCAATTCGGTGATTTTCGGGGGTTGTTGTGGAATATTGAGAATTATGGAGGTTGGGTTATTTATTTAAATAATAGTATATAATATAAATATATTAGTATTATTATTAATTTAAATAAATATAAGTTAACTAAGGGCAAATTGGACAATTGAGGAGGAGTTAGTGAGGGTAATATTGGAAAAGCCCAAATTATAGGCCCAAGGTTAGGTTTAACAAAAAGGGAATTGTGATGGGATTAGGACTTATTTTGTTATACCGTGAGAAGAATTGAGGCCAAAGCTCTGAGGAGGAGATTTGAGGCAAAAGCTTTGAAAGGTTTTCTGAAATATTTGAGAAGGCTTAGAGTCAGCAATTAAGGTATGGGGAGTATTGCCTTCATTGTTTTCAATGTATAATTTCAATTTATTTAAGGCCGACTTAAGGGTTTAAAGGGTTTGAGGCTGATTATGAGATAAATGGAATTTGGCCTTCGTGGCCTAAATCTATTATTGAGATTTTAACCGTAGGGATTTATTTGGGTTAAAGGGAAATTAGGTCTTCGTGGCCAAAGGTCTGCTTTGGCATTTGCTTAACCCTGTAGGGAAATTTGATAGTGAGAAACTCTAATGATTGTGGAGTTGTTGTAAGGATTTATAGGATTTAGAGCGTGAATATAATATGGGATTGGCCTAATAAGTCGTAGATTTTGTGCCTTTATCGCCGTAAGACATTAGGGATGATTTAGGGATGTTTTTGGGTTATCGAGGAAGTGAATCGTGGGACTTTTGGGTTGATTTTAGGTTCTGGTGCGTAACAGTGTTTTGCTGTCATCGCGTGTTTGCACAATGAACAAAATCGTCCCAGACTCGTACTGCAAAGAATCCTTCGCACATCGAAGAAACTCGCCCCAGACTCACACAACGAACTTGCTAGCGAACGTAGCAACGTTTCACGAATTCTGATTTTGTGCAGTGATGCCTTGATGTTTTAATGATGTGATTTCTTTGACGAATTAATATGAGTTTGCTGTGATTTCTATGTGATTTATACATGATTATATGATGTTTCCTAAGATGTAATGATTGATGAACTATGATGATATTTCCATGAGTTTTGATGATTCTATGATGATATGATTTTTGATGATGATGATTATGATGAATGATGATGCACCTATGATGTTATTATGAGGATGATTATTGACGTGTGCATCCGAACTTCGGTTCAGGACCTTGATTTCTTTGGCTTCAATCCTATTGTGTGAATGTGAGGTATTTTGATGTTCTCCGGTTCTGGAGTAGAATCAATCCTATTGATGGGGATCTATGGAGGGTTGATGGCTCAGTGTCCATCGAGCTATGATGATTGGTACCACATGCATTGAGTCTTGTTGCATTTGCATTTATGAGATGATCTTGAGTAAATTATGATGTTGTGGCCTTTGATGTTCCTTGATGAATATGATGATGTTAAATATGAAAATGACGCCATTTTATATGTTGATTTCCTACATTGATTATTATGAATCATTTTACTCGCCCTGCCTGTTTGAATGTTACCTCCACGTGGGTAACATACAGGTGACCAGGTTTAGCCGTGGACGCCGTCGAGGGCTTTTGAAGTTTTGAGTTGTTGGCCTTTTGGTTAACGTAGAGGGTCTTGCTCTGATAGTGTAACATCGGGATGGAGTCTTTGAGTTAAACCATGATTTATTTGATTTGGCTATTTTGGTTATGTTCCCGTATAAGGAAAACTTTGGATTATGCCTTTTTGAGTTCCGCTACAAATTTTGATATCTTTTTGGAAAACCCGTTGTTTACGGAGCTTTGACTTATATTTAATTTATTGGGAAATGTACGCCCTTTGAGGTGATTTTATTGAGTTTAATATTTTACTCTGATATATGTGAATATTTTTCCATTTAATTGTGGGGTAGAAAAGGGTGTTACAGGCACGCCAAAAGTCTTTAAATACAGAAAACAAAGAAACCCTAATGCACTTTTCATCCAAAACATAATTAAATAAATAAATAAAAATGCGAAAATAGTAAAATGCTAAATTTAGGCTTGAAACAAACTCGGATGGCTTAAAAAGCCCATAGGTCATGGTAAATCGATGAGCTAAACTTGTGAGTCGATTCCCTATCTAGAAAAGTATAATAATAGTTATTCTGACATTAAACGCCAAACTTGCACAATTCCTGTGGAACCTTTCTGACACACAACTTCCTCTTTGATAGCGCAATCAACCTTCCTACATCAGTCTCCTCCACCTCTAAATAACTCGACCCCAAGTACTCTTATTGGTAAAGAAACTCGTTTGCATGATATTCATGACTGTAATAATATTTGAAAGTATTGGATATATTCATGAACTTCGGGAGAGCTACCATATAAGAATGATCATTGATCTTCCGAGTCACTTTGAACGGACCATATTTGTGTGGCTGCAGCTTGCTATAAGTTACCAAC